CTAACGTAGGCTTGGAGACAATAAGGGGTGTGGATAAAATTGTAAAGGGCGAGGAAAACGCCCTTATTCCTGATAATATGAACGTTTCAAACGTTCCATATTTAAATTGGGCTCCACTTGTATCAACTTACGTCGAGCGCACATTTAGTACATTCAAGGCTTTTCTTCGGCAAAATCGAATGAATGAATGCTGCCAGAAAACTTCAAAATGCATCTTGTGGTTCAATTTTACTACAACTATTCAGATTAAAGTATTATGAGTTAGAAACTCGAAAGGATAAAAAAATTAGAGATTCGAAGTACAAATTTTTCATATAATGAAACTAGTTCATAGTTTTTCTCTTTTTACTTGTAATATAAACATTTCTAAAATAAATGCATTTTTTGATTGTTCTTCGTATTTTCTGTCTTTTTTAGTGTCTTATTTTGCTTTTTTTGCAATACCTAGTGCCTTTTCCTGCCCTTTTCGCTATTTTGTTTTGCATTTTTTTGCCTTTTTGGCAATACCTAGTGCCTTTTTCGCTATTTTATTTAGTCTTTTCCACCCTATTTCGTTATTTTATTTTGCCTTTTTTGGTTTTTAGGTCCTAAAAATCCGTTCCCTGGTTATAAAACATTTATTTTTGTTGCTCTGTAACTCAGCTCTTACTACCGAACTAGTTCAATTAGGCGAAATATAGTTCAATAAGGTGAAAGAACTAAGGCCTAGATATGCATATGTACATATGTATGTGTGTATGTATATGTACGTAAGCCCCGTAGGAAATATGAACTCGTAATATTGCAGCAACTTACACTTCACCTGGCCGGAAGGCAATAACTTTAGTAAATTTGTGTTTTTTCTTACAGATTTTTTATTAAAAAGCGAAGAGCGAATTACATTAATTCACCTCAGGGAATCGGATTTTTATAAAATATCTGTAATTTCTATTTCTAACTACTTATGTAGATATTATTCAGTGTTGAAAACAAAAGAAGATTTAGAGCTGATTGGTTCACCAATTTTTCATGGGTTTCCAAAGATGGCTCCTTTTGTGAGGCATGGAATAAAGCACAACTAACTAACTACAAAACTGCATACTCAGAAAAGTAATAAAAAAATGTGATTAAAAAATTGAGTTTTGAACAGAGTTTAGAAATTATATTTTTATGTTTTTTTGTTATAATAGAAACTAAATTTTTATAAAAGAATAGCGGGAAAATTAAAATAAAAAATTTGGCCCATCGACACTGAGAAAAGTCCTCACTGCCAATACATATTGTTTGCCATTAAGCTTTAAGTTTTAAATAATTTTGGTGACACATTATTTTGGTACTCTTAGAAGCGTTTTGGTACGTTTTTTGTTAGGCATTAATCATGATGACAGTTTTGGTACTAAAAGCTGAAAGAAGACATGGATTATCTCGTAAGGTGCTTACCCTGCAGGAAATGTATCTATCTATAAGCTAACTTTAAGTTGATTAGGAAGTAGCTAAAAGTCACTTATGATCTGTATATTTTCTTTGACGACTATAACTAACTATATTTGTATGGCGATGGCCGCGAAATAGTCAAGGGTGGTTACCTCGGCATTAAATGTAGTACAATGTAGTGTAGTTACCTCTGCATTTGATGTAACTAACTTGCAACTAGCTACTTTTGGACTTAAAATATCAATAGGAAAAATAAAATATTTTTATTTTTTATTTTTTTATTTTTATTTACTTTATTTATTTTATTACATTTCATAATTGTTTAAATATTCTCCTGTAGGTGGTCCCATATTTCAACTCCGTCAGACATAACTTCAAAATGATAAAATGAAATTTCGATCTTCCTTTTATTTGTCCTCAATTCGAAAAAGTATTTGCGAAGGTCGGGATATTTAAATAGAAATGCGGTTAAAGAAAACCATCTCCTTCATTTTTCCTGCGTTACTTGTCAACTAGTTTCAAGTTAGCTTTTTGTAGCTAACTACGGGTTATATATTTTATAGAATTCCCACAAAAAAGCTAACTACAACTGGGTTATTTTCTATAAATTGATAATTTTGTTCTGCTGGGTACCTATATTCCAAGTAGAACACTTATACATGCATACATGTATGTTAGAGAACATCAGCGTTTTTATAAAAGACCGACCAGAAAAAAAGACGTTTTTCTTTTTTATCACAAATAACAGTATTCTGATATAGCGTTTATGAATTTCCAAAGAGTGTATATATGAACCACTCTAATGTACATATGTACATATATGTATACACAGCTGCTTATACATATATGTATATTTGCAATTTTTTACATACATACATATTTCATTTAATTTTGTGAAAACAATGCCTTTGGCGTATTTTGTGAATCTTTATTGCGTTTTTTTTTAATAGATGATACAATAAAAAAAAAAAAAACAAAAAATCAGTGTAATATTCTCTGCCTCGTTTTAATCAATGTCAGTTAATTTAAATTTTAAGGGTATATTTGGCATATTGATTAGCATACCCTTGAATGGCTTGTCGGTGGGATAATTAAATTCTATTTTGAAATTCCTAACTAATCTTGCCATTGCCAGCCCTACTTCCAAGTCTATTATTCTACGTCCTAGGCAAATGCGCGGCCCAAAACCGAATGGTAGATAAACAAACGGGTTGCTTGGCTTCAATGATCGCACACCCTCCTCGCTGATAGTTTCGTCCGTTCGCAACCAACGTTCCGGTAAATATTCCAAGGGGCGCAGAAAAAAACGTTCATCCGATTGTAGAGTTGATGAAATCATGCTCACCCAAGTACCTTTAGGTACACGATAGCCGCTTAAAATGAGATCGTTTTGCGGTACACGCATATTCCCGACGGATACTGGGTAAATGCGCAGTGATTCTTTAATGCATGCACGCAGATACGGAATATTGTCCAATACATTTGGTGTGAAATCGCCAAGCTTTTCGGGCAGTACACTCCTTACCTCTGAGCGCAAGCGCTCTTGCTTTTCCGGGTTCTGAGCTAAACAGAGCAGAGCGCCGGCAACCAATGTGGCTGTCTAATAGAAAGATTAATTAACTACAATTTAAATGGATATTATACATACATACATACCGTATCTATGTATATAAACACATATATGTATGTACATATGTTTGTACATAAGTAGCATTCGAAAATATTTTTTACCGTATCAACGCCTGCCATCAGCATATCCATAGACATTACAGCAGCTACTTTAGCGTCTCTCTTTATTATCCTTTCCAAAATGCTTGTCTCCTCTTCTGCCCGTTGGACGCCTTCACGCTTTTCTGCTTCCAATCTATTAATGGCTTCTGTTACATGCTTCCACGTCACACTTCTAATATCATCCATAGCTCGCATAAGACGCCTTAATTTAGGTGTGGCTACCAGTCGCCACATTGCAGGCTTGTAATCCAGTTGGAAGCTGAGATCCACGAATTCATTTAAAGCATTGAATAGCCTCTGAGCATCGTCGGAGTTTTCGCTATCTTCTCGCAGCAATCCAAGTTGCAAATCCAATGCTACCACGGCAACTGATTCTAGCGCCCAAAGCTGTATATGCACTGCAAAGTCGTCAGGCATCTCCAACGTTTCGGAATTGCGCATCAAGCGAATTCTTAGAATAGTAGCAAAATAATTTTAAGTACTAATTTAAAATGGACATGTATGATCGATTTTACCTATCTACAAATTCTTGATTCACTTGCGACATTTTGTTGAGATACATATTAATAGACTTTGATTGCAAAAGTATCGGATTCACGACCGTGCGAAATGAGTTCCATTGCTCGCCTTGCCTGCAAGTATCGAATATTCGCATGCATTTTATCAACAATAAAGCGCTACGCATAAATATCTACGAGTACATTCATTCAAACTCACGACGCTATAGCACCTTCTACGCCATCAAAAATGTCCGCACGATACTTATTCCGATAATAGCGCATAGTTTGAGAGAAGGGTCTTATTGGCCAAATCCCTTCATTGCGAAAAACATTTTCAAAATCGTCCGGATTGTACGTCACTAAGATGCTGGGTTGACCCATAAGTGCCGGCATCATGAAAATAGGGCCAAAATCACTGCGCATTGCCGCTACAAGATCATTGGAATCCAATTTGAAATACTTGCCACCTGGTAAAAATTTACTTATCAGCTTAAGTGCGCCAATTTGTGGTATCTCACTAAATGGACGCGCTCTCTGCCACTCCAATGCGGTTCCTTCTTTTGCTGAGACTGGACATGAGGAATTGAGGGTCTCTGGGTCATGCTGAGACAACGGCTGCTGTTAAAGATTTTATTTATGTATACAAATTTTTTCGTATGCGTATTCTTCTCTATGAAGTATATGTAGAAATATCGGCCAATCAAGGCGTATTCATATAAGGTGGTGTTGCTAGAACAGCTGCTTTAATTCGCCTCGGTACACATATCTCAAAACTACCCATAAGTGAGTGCGAAAGTAAGAGTATTGGAATTTTCTCTCCCACTTCATCCTTGAGCGAGGATTAGTTGAAATTTGACTACCACCTTATATGAATTCGCCTTGATCTCAACATTTTGAACAGTACAGACTTGGTATGTGCAAAAATTCCACAAACGTTTCATACCGATTCCGAGCATTTTAATTTTAATTTATAGTATAATTTTTGGTATGCAGTTTTATAGATTATTTAAATCTAATATAATGGAGTGCAAGTTTGAAGTTCCTAAAAAATCGCGTTGATTTTTATTGACATATATGTATGTAATACTTCTATATTGGCAGTAAGCTAACTTCTCAATGTGTAACCATTCCGATATCAAAGCGAGACAGTCTAGTACCGTTCAGAAAAACCAACGGAATACTAGACTGCAATAAGCTATAAAACTGCATACCAAAAATTATTTAAAAAAATTCTAATTAAAATACTTGGAATTGGGATGAAAAGTGCAATTTTTGAAATTTTTGTACAAAATTTGAAACTCGGACTTATATGGTTTTTGTTAGATAAGGAGCTGAACTTTTAAAAAAAATTTGCTATCTTTTGTCGCGGGTTGTATTTATGTGCATATATCAATTATAGTAATGCACAAATGTGCATATGTATGTATCCCAAAATCACGTCTGCCAAACATACTTAATCCACGTTTCGTATGCTAATTTCGCATTCACCTTTTTTGTGGCAAACAATCGCAGTGTTGTTGACCTTAAGCTGTATGCTATACCCATTCCTTTGCGAGTTGTTGCTGCACTTATTTTTCCCGAAAACATTTTCAAAATAAATTTATTTAAGTAAACTTTACACGATTACGGTTCCAGTTCAACTGAAAGAAAATTTCTGCATCATTTTGAAACAGCTTTTACTGACTTAATTACATATGCATGGCGATATGAAAGTATCTGCAGTCTGCATCCGTAATCAAATTATGCATTTAAGTACATATGTAAGTAAACGGGTATTTATGTATATTATATGTACATATATGGTTGATAACACAGGTTTAAATTTTTTTTTTCAGAAAAAGGCAGAATGGCAGTCGTATTTCCAGTGTATTTTTAGGTCAGTTTATTGACGAAAGAAGGAGCGAACTTAGTCATCTAAATATACATACATATGTAGGTAGAACTTTCAGAGAGGTGGGGTGCAATAACTTCTTCTTTTTATTTGCCGTTGTATCCGCCTATGCGATTTTGGCCGAGTTCAACAAAGCACACCAGTCGTTTCTCTGCTGTGCCAACTGACACCAATTTGAAATGCCAAGTGTAGTCAAGGCCTTCGCCACTTGGTCTTTCCATCGCAGTGAGGGCCTAACTCTTCCTCTTCGTCTTGTTCTCGGGTGCATTAACACCATTCGATATAAAACCATAAAGCTTTAGTTGCGTTCCTCAACTTTTCTGGGTTAAAACCTGTAAAACTGTCAAAATGCAAAAGAAGGCAGAGAACCGAGTACGAGAACGCTTTCTGGTTAATTCCTGTAAATTGTTGCAACTTCTTGCGAGTTCGGGAACGCAACTTTTATTTCCCATCGCGATTGGAAATAAAACCATAATTTCGATATGGTCTTAATTCCCACTGCAAATGGAATTAACGCCATTATGTTTTTATTACGCTGTTGAAAATTTCGGTTTAGAAATGAAAAAAAAAAACACATTTTGCGAGTGAGGCATATTTACAACAAAAACAATTCATATAAAAAAATTAGATGATGTACAATGACACGTCAAAATGACCCAGATTTTTATAAAAGGTAAAAGAATTTTTGGATATTCATTCTATTTCTCAGCTGACTACGATGCAGCATTCTACTTTGCATTCCCAGAAATGAAACAAAGAAGCGAAATAAATAAAATATTGTAGCACATTCTACTTTGCATTACCAGTAATGCCTAAAAGAAGTGAAAAAATTCGAACGCATTATAACGCTATGCCTTCTAGAACACGTTACCACTAAAAGCGATTACCGATTTTTTTTCTGGGTACCAATTGAATTGCGAGAATGTAATTAATTTTTATGCTAAGTACCGGTAAATAGTATGCAGTACACAATACTCATATCTGTAATAAAAAAATTTTGAGTAATTTGTTCGGATTTTGAGGATTTTTCATTTGTTTTTGAGGAATTTGGTAATTTTTTTTGTGGCAACACTGATAAAGACGGCTTAAAATCGAACTCAAATTTGTACTTTCGCCGTAGAAATTTTAGATCCATGTTATGTATTTAGTTTGATTATTGTCAATTAAATCTAAAGCCTTGTATTGCATGCGCTCTACGTTTTTCGTTTTCAATCTCATAAATTGTATATAATGACTTTTGTTAAAATTTCAAAATCAAAAGATATCAAAACAAACTCTATGGGATTGAGAAATATTATTTTCTACTTTTTTGGCATATTAAAAAGTTTTTTATTTTATTTAATTTTTGTTTATTTTTTTAAATGAATTTATTTTTTAGTTTAGATTTTGTTATTTTCAAGTGAAATTTTTTTTAAGTTAATTTCAATGATATTAAATAGATAGATATTTAGTTGAGGGATGCACTGCGGCCAGGAGATCTATAGTGCCCTCTCTCTCCTCACAGCACCTCGGTCATTCCTAACTCCCTTAGGTAATCCAGTGGATTGTTGGGTAACATCGGTTGCATGTGATTCGACTCCTGGTTTAGTGACCCCAGATATTTCTCTGGTCTCTTCGCCACTGCGTCGAGTTCGAGGATTATAAGCTCAGAAGTTTTAGCGGTCCTATTACAGAAACGGTATGAATCAGTGGACCAGATCCCGAGTTTGTGTAGGTGACTTCTGAATTTTCAAAGACCTGTTAAGATAACTGTTAAGATTCTTAGTTTGTTCTTTGGGAGGTTAATAAGTTTTTCATATCTTTTCCTATTGGTTTACCCCTAATGGCTTCTTTGTCTGGCGATACCCAATAATTTGGTTCCAGTGCAGTTCTCCTTTTACTCTTTCTTCTCTTCTAAGTCCTTCTTTGATTGTGTGGGCTCATACTGCAAACTGTAGGTATATAGTGCGTATCACAATTATACGCCACACACATATTGACTAGTTTTCACTATTAATTTTTTGTCATTTAATTTTAAATATTTATTTTAATAAACGTACTGTACAAGTTTCAAATTTTGTACAATATTTTGGAAAAAAAATCTGAAACAAACTTTCTTTAAAATATCCAGCTTTTTAATGAGATTTCTTAGTAAGATTTCAAGTAGATAGCACTTTAGCTTTGATTTTTGGCAATATTTTTTGTTGAAGGTCCATATAAAAAAAAACGCGTATGTTCGATTTCGTATGGGGCTACTTAAAATGTCCATTTTATTGCACTAAAATTTACTGGGCCACAATAATGCGTACTCAAAAAAAAACAAAATCTAATTAAAAATCTCGAAATGTTTACGAAAGTTTGTTGAATTAAAATATTGCACAAAATTTGAAATTGGAATTTATACGGGTTTGGTTAAAGAATAAATCATATATTTTTTGTAAAGTAACTAAAATTAAATTATAAAAAATTAATAAGGTTGGCGCATAATTGTTATAAGCACTACATATTTAAATTAGCTGTAAAATAAATATTGTTTTGTTTTTATATCAAATTCATAAATATTCATTTATTCAGCAAATTGTTATACAATAATTTTATAATTATACAAATAAAGTAAATTTAAATATACGATATGTATTTATGTATTTCAAACACCAACTTAAATTATGCACAATGTAACGGTACAATAAATTTGATCAAACACATACATACATACATATTATTATTGTTCATATGTGTGCATGTATAGTTTTGTTATATTTTATTTTATTTTATTGTTTTTCAGATATATTAATATATGTAAATTTATTTAAATGTAAGCACGTAGACTTTTTGCAAATTCAACAAAAATTTAATAAATGTATATCAAAAAATATTTATAGATACAATAATAAACATAGGTATAGAAATAAAACAGGTAAAAAATAATGCATTTGTAGAAAAAAATTTTAATGACAATTAAGATTTTTACATGAAAGAGAAATATATTGATCTATATACTATGGTATATTGGATACGCAGCAAGGTTTGACAAGGAGAGAGCATTTCTAAAATTTCGTTTATTTCTTTTAGTCACTACTTCATACAAACTTTGCTTATGCTTTTCGTTTTTAGTTTTCATTTTGGAAATTTGGCACTTTACACAAGCAAAGTATTTGCATGCGATAAGCTGGCGATAAGCCGCAGGTAAAATTTTAATACCTTTAAACAAAACACTAATCACTGAAAGTATTTGCTTCTCAAGTACACATCGATATGATTGGATTTACTTTCTTTTAAACGCACACAACTGTTTGAAGATTCGTTTTTTGTTATTCGTTATAAATAGTTTTCACGATGCTGTTTCCAAGTAAATTAACGGGCTTAAAAATTAATTTTTATTCACAAATTTGTAACGGAATGACGTTAAATAATGTTGTCAAAGTTGCGAAATAATATTAGTTTATAGAGAGCATATTTTTAATGAATTTTCAGCTGGCATACAGCAGTTAAGACCATGTTGTTAACAATATTTTCTCGGCAACAATGTTGCTTGGAGCCGACGTTGTTAGATTATTAGTATTTCTTGCAAAATAACGCTATCAAGATTTGAAAAAATTTAAATATAAATCCTTCGCAACATTTCCGTGAAAACTAAATATTGCGCAGCAAATGTTAGTTTGGGCGACATGGTGCCGGAAATTATAATTCGGTTTAAATTTTTCGTGGTCGTAGTTTTTATATATTCATGCTGCACACAATTACGGCCAAAATATAGTACGAAATAAATGTTGCGTAACAATAGAGAAACATTTACAATGTCTCCAGCATATCGTCGGTGATAAATGACGTGTCATCTGTATCGCTTGTGTTAATCGTTCATCTTTTCAACGAACGGTAGACAGTTTTGTCATTACTTTATGAGTGTAACGATTTGCAGATGCATTCCGGTGCGGACAACAAACAAAGTAAGTGTCAAGGGTACTAATTGACATAGGCGCCTGTCACACCATCAATACGGATCGCGATCCAAATATACGGATCTTGATATTTATTGAAGGTGTAGCATTAAATATTGAAGGATCGTGAGACGGACAGTAAAATATCTAGGAATCCGGATCACGGAAGCGGATCGTGAAATAAATATTGAAGTTGTAGCATATTTAAAATGCGATCCATACATTTCGTGAGTATAACTTGTACTCTCATAATGCGAACATAGAAAACGTATTCGTTCTCGGCGCTGAAAACCTTTCAAAATAAATTTACGTTGCAAATTTTAAAAGAATTATATATAGTAATGCATTCCATAATCTAAAAATTATTGGTATAAAATAAAAATATTTTTTTTTTGCGCCATAATAAGCGTTCAGCACAAAAACTATGCAAATACTGACGCGACAAATATTGAATGTTTAGCACACACTCACAATTCATCAATATTTTAAGATCCATCAATCGCGACCCGTATTGATCGTGTAACAGGCGCCATATACCGTATTGCAGTATCACCGACAATATGCGATCTAATCGAAAAGTGCCTGTGGGTTTAATTTTGCTAGGATGCACATTTTGCTTGAATTGAATTTTGGAAATCGATTAGCGAGTTGTAAAAAACCGGCCAGAGAAAAAGTTTCGAAACTTCTAAGCTTCCCATTAACGTTACTACGCAGATAATTTGTTTCTCTGTTCTAATATTTACATCATGAAAACCTCTATTACTTAAGTATACATTACATATGTAAATCCTAAACTCGTATTGCAAACGAACACCCTCAAGTTGAAAATAACCACTTTATTCCCCTTGCTGTTGT